TATCATTCTATTCTTCATCTGAACTTTCATTCATTTAAGGTTCTGAATCTTCAGCTATTACTTAATTGTAAATCTATTTATCTCTTATTTCATCTAGATCTTTTGCTTAAGATTATTAATTTTATTATTATATACGATATTTTCTATCTTAATCATTACCTGGAGTTGTTGGCTTAGAAGTGAATAAACTAGGAATCTAAGTAAATTAAGGTTAAGATGGAGATTATTAAGGATTCTTTTTATCATCTTCTTGTTTATTTGAAAAATAATTCTACTTACTTGTTTTTGAATCTGCAGTTTTTAAAGATAATTATGATTTTAAATCGAATCTTTTTGATGTTGATAATAATTAACCATATCCTGTTCCACTTTCATTTTAATTCTATTTTTATTATGGATTCTATTGTTAATTTATTTATTATTTCTTGTCCTACTTTGATTTTATGTATTCATATGTTGTTATATGTTTATATCTAAAAATATTAAATATATCATAAACTTAAAATATAAGTGCATTGACAATAAGTATATTAGGATTATCAAAACTGGTGGATCTATTGCAATACAAATATAAACTAGTATTTATAAATCATCTGCATAGTATAATAAATTAATGTCTAAGGCTAATTTGAATATTTTAAACGTCACCAAAGAAATAACTAATATAAAAAAGTATGAATAGTTTTAATCTCCAACACAATTATTAAGCCATATACAATGATGATCAAACAGTGATACACATCTAATACAAATCTTAAATTACTTATTACAACTCCAACAATGTTTTGTCTTTTCTTATACATGTGCTTAACAAACTAAACAATATGATTTAATATCAGTTTTAAATTCTTTACTTTAACATAATAAATATATTTACCCTTATTTTTTGTATAATTTTTCCTATTTCACTATAGAATCTGTCGGATCTATTAGAGTAGCCTTAAGGCAACTATAAAAAATGGTTGTAACAATAATTGTTAATAAGATGATCAATAGTTCCTTAATAATAAAATTAAATAATACATGAATGCCATACTCCTCAAATGAAAATGAAAATATGTAAGCAATAACGATATCAGTAAGAGTATAAATCCAACTAACAGTTTGGTATGGATTAAGACCATTAACTAATCCGTTTCTTCGAACAGGTCTTTCTCTACCTTTTTATATATCAACGTTCATTAATATTATATATATTATTGTTGTTATTTTGTATTTATGATTGATAATTCAAGGAGCAGGTAAATCTTTTAATGGCAATTCTCCTATAGTTTAAGTCTTCTGGTATTCTTCTTCTTCATTTCTAAAAATATTGTTTAAAATTAAAACATTACCTCTTTAATCCAAAGTATTATTTGGAAATCAATTGAGTATGATTTGTGAGGAATTATGTTTTTAATTTAGGATTCCAGAATGCATCTTCTTTATATAAATACATTAATTCTTATTTATTCAAACATGACAATTCATACATTCCTAAATCCTATATTAAATGATTAAATGAATATATACATTTTATCTCATATTCTATACACCAGATTTAGTATAATATGGTAATACTTCAAGATGATGAGTTTCAAATACATCTTCTCTAATAACACCAAATGATCCCATTCTAGTGACAAAGATTAATTCCTTATCTTAATTGTATTAAACTTTAGTAACATAATTTCTTCCAATATCATTCATAGACATATGATGGAAATACCATAAATAGGCTGAAGCAGCAGTAGCAGCCAATACATTTATTCTCATATAATCCATATTATAGATTGATTATAAATGATAAGGATAGAATGAAGCATCAATTTAATGATCAAACATAAGATTTGTTTTATAAACAATGTTATATGGTAATACCCAACAAATCCAAGCAAAACTGAATGTTCCAGTCCACCATACAAATTTTAACCATTCTTATAATCTTGTATTTTCATAGATCACTTCTCCTTCTTAGAAATTCAAAGTTGGATCTGGATCTGCTGATGGATGTTAAACAAATGGTTAATCATTATAACTTGGATGATACATATCACTTTCTAATCTAAATAATCTTTAGAATGGATTAGCTAAGAATTCTGGATGTCCCAATCTATCAGCTAAATATGGGAATCTTAAATGATAAGGTGTTTCAACATCATATTTAGATCCTTTATCTGGATGGAATTTTCTAGTAACAGGTCTAGATTCCAATTCTTTTTCATGTCTCTTTTAGCTTTCAGTTTTTTCATTTGGATATATAGTTTAAGCAATCCATCTTTTTTCATTTCTAAACACATTTTCATATTCTAATTCTTCATTCTCAAGATTTCCTGTTTATGAATATGGTATTTCAATAGGGAAATAATCTCTAAGGCCACCTGTGATATTTTTAGTGACTCCTGGTTTGCCTTTTAAGTATGGTCTATCCAAATTCTTGATAGCTTCATCCACTTATCTTTACATGGCTACATCTCTTTTAACTCCATCCACAAGCATATTGTGAGTGTCAACAGTTAATCTTTGTTTGTAATCCTGTCTTTATGCTGGAATGTAATCTGGATGAGCAGGATCATAGTGAGTAATGTGATATGGATACACTTTATATTCCAATTTATTAGCCAATCTCTCTAAATGCTCTTACATAACATTTTTGCGTTCTAATTTTTAACAAATGGTTACCTTTTCTTCTTTAAATTGCATTCTTAATGACTTGACTAGCACTATATCTAGGAATATAGGATCTACAATACAAGAACATCCTTTTTTAATTTATTTTTATATCTAATAATACCCGAGAAATTTAAACAATAATTTATATTTAAATGAATAGCAATCATAATGAATAACTTTGTCAATTCGAACAATAAAAACCTAAATATTAGCACTTTTACTTAGAACTCTATAAACCTAAACTCTTCTAAATTCATGGGCCAAAATTAAAAAAAAGTGATACTCTCAAGTGTTAATAAAATAAAGGTGAATAATAAAATAGCTAAGATGACCCTATCTATTTAAATATCTAAGATACTTAATAATAGGAAATTAAATTTGGATTAAAAACAATGGAGGAACAATCAATTTAAAAAAAAATCAAAATAATCTAAAGATTTTTGAAGAATTATAACTTTAATAAAAGATTTCGATTAAGACGTAATGACTCATCAGAAGATTTAGAATATCTAGATATAAATAAGGATTCTACTTTTATATAAAAAGGTTTTAAGGAATGCAAAATTTGTCTATCATACAAAAGGATGCATTAGTTCTTGCCTTGCCTTCATGAATTTTGCAGACCATGTGTAGCAGCTCATCTTAAAGAGAATATAATAAGAGGAAATGTCTTATTAATATAATGTCCTTAATTATAATGTTCTGAATAATTCGAGAGTCTCTAAATAAAAAATTTAGTTTCATATAGCTTATATGAAAAATATTAAAGATTTCTAAAAAGATAATTAATAAGTAAAGATAAGAATGTTAGATGGTGTCCTCGAATTGTATAATTATTATATATACTATTAAGGATTGTGAAAATTATGTAATAGGATAAGGTAACAATTTACTGATATGTTCTTGTGGCTAGCAAATATGTTTTAAATGCGGTAGTCAATATCACTAAGATATGTCTTGTGATTAAGCTATGGACTTCTAATATCTTTAAGCAAGGAAAAAACTTTAAGTTAATGATTGTCCTAATTGCTCAGTTCCTATAGAGAAGAAAGGAGGCTGTAATCATATGACATGTTACAAATGTTAATATGAATTTTGTTGGATCTGTAGAGGCAAATACTCATCAACTCATTATGGTGTATTTAATATATTTGGATGTGCAAGTATTTTCTATTGATTATATATCTTCAGTCCCAGGAGGATAAGTTTCTAATATTAAACCATTATAAAATCCTATGTTGATTAGAGTTTTGATGATAATTCCAAAACTCTTACTTACAATAATATTGACTAGTGGACTGCTCATATTTTTACCTTTTTTTTTAATCTACCTAATTCTATCAGCACCCTACAGATTATTAAAAAGAATATCAAATTTCAGAATGAGTAATTATCGGAAATGTGCTTAGTTTGGATTTTTCTAACTTCTCCTTTTAAGTGGAATTATATTATCACCCATAACAATAATTTGTGCAATTTTAATCAGTCCTGTACTATTGATAATTTATATTGTTGAAAGATTCTGATTATATTCACTTTTTATATTAATATTATATAATAATATACTTTTTCAATAAACCAAATCTTTCAAATCATTTTCTTTATTCCTTTAATCAAATGAAGACACATCTACTTCTACTGGCTTTCCCATTGTTGTCTTAATTCTTGCTTCTCCTATCAATTATCCTTTCAAAGATATTGGTCTTTTTTAATTCAAAGCTATTGAAAAAGCTTTGATATTCATTAATATCACTTTATCTTCAAATGATTTCTTTCCAACAGGTACCATTAAATTTGAACCTGAATCCACTCTAAATTCAATTGAACCTGCTTTAGCACCCTTAATTGCTGTAGAAAGCTCTTATGGTAATACTAATGTGCCAGCCTTTGGATTTGGCATCAATCCTTTAGTACCTAATAGTCTTGCAAATGGTTTCAAATGAATTAGCATATCTTATGTTGTTATTAATTTTTCAAATTTATATGTTCCATCCTTAATAGATTTTAATATTTCTTCTTAACCAACAAAATCTGCTCCTGCCTTTGATTAATTAAATAACTACTCTCAATGCAACGTCATTAAATTCATTGCTTGTTAAGACAGCTATTGACACATTCTTTCCTAATCCTCCTGGTAACATACATGTTCCTCTTACATTTTAATCACCATGTTTTGGATCAACATTCAACCTTAATTAAAAATCTATTGTCTCATCAAATTTTGCTTTTGCACTTTCTTTTATTAATTTCACAGCATCTCCTATTCTTATTTTTGGAGTATCTGTTATTTTCACTTTTGCAAAATAAGCTAAAACTCTTCCTCTCAAAAACATTTTTATTATTAATATATGAATATTAATTAATAATTATATTATACAGATACACATAAAGATAATTGTTATCCATATTCATATGCATTGATTTTAGTGCATGGTAATATTACCTCTTCTTAACATTGGTTTAAATTTATATAAGAAATTCAAAAAAGAGATCAAGATAAATAAATAAGAATTATTAATCTAGATTAAAAAGGATTTGGATATTCATAACTACAAAATAATAGTATTGATGATATCAAAGATCTGACTACAGAAATTCATAATTTAATATTATCTTTATTTAAAAAAGAAGAAATATCTTAAAAAGTCATATTATGTGGATGGTCCTTAGGGGGAGCAGTGTGTTTACAATTAGCTAGTGATAAAAGTGAATACTATCATAAATTAATACTAGTAGCCAGTGCAGGTTGTCATGGAAACCATTTGTATATGGAGGATGAAGAAGGTAAATAATTATCAATTAAATGCTAAACTAAATAATAAATAATGGATCATTCAAAAATAAAACACAATCTCATGAAAATTAAATAAAATGATTACAATTACTTTTATCATGTATTTAAAAAAGCATTGTTCAACAGTGGAAGATATCCAAGCGATCTTGAATTACTTGAATTACTAAAAGATGTTTTTAAGCAATCAAATTATGTTGATGTTGCATGGGCTTTATAAAAGTTTGATATTACTCATTAAGTTAATAAAATTAAAGGTCCTGTCTTTTTATATCACGGTTAGCTTGACAGAATATGTCCTATTTCAGATGCTTATGTAATAAATTTTATTAGGTTTTATAGACTAACATTCATTTTATTGGTAAAAATAAATGTACAATTGTTGTTCATCAAGATGTTAGCCATATGCCTCCTCTTGAAGTACCTGAAGATTTAGCTGTGCATATCATAAATTATTTGTATTCATTAAAATGAAAATGCAGTTCTAATAATACTTATATATTAAAAATTATATACAAATATAAAAAGAGAGCATGATACTAGAAATAAAGAAAAATCAAAAGACTTATTTTGTTATTTTGTAATTTTCTTAATGATGCCTTGATTCATTAAGGATTTGCCAAGTAGTCCAGTGAAGATGTAGTATTCGTTTTTTGACAATGAATTACTTAAACTAAATTCAGCTAAATATATACATGATCATTTAAATATTTGTCATCAAATGTTTCAGAATCTATTTATAAATTCTATATCATATAAAATTTAATTTTTTATACTATATTCTCTAAAAAATTTTCAAATCTTTCAACAAAAGATATTATTGATTCACATGCTTAAAAATTTGAAAAATTCCCCTTAAAAATCACTATTCTCTTATTTGTTTAGGAATTTATTTTTAGAATGATTAATGTGTTACTGTATAAACTAAAAGATTTAAGATCTGAGTAGAATAACGAGACAAACCATTCAATAATTTTTATATTATAATGCTATTCAATAAACAAGGTTCATTTTTTATGCGACACTTAAGTGAGTTGTGCTTACTCAATATGATATTTTTGAATCAAAGATACTAACCATTCATCTAATTTTAGAATAGAATCATGCTTGTCTTTTGGATCAATATCTAACCATAATTCAATTCTTATTCTATTTCCTTGCTTTGCATTAATTTTATCAACAACTCTTAAACCATTTATCTATATAAAATAATTTAAATACATGGCTCAAATCCTCATTTGATTATCCAATCACCTCATATAAAATATCTTAGTATAAATTATCATATATATTATAAAATTATGTTGGAATATCAAATTAGATCTCACCACCATTTTTATTATTTTCATCTTCCCACCATGGTTTTATATCATTCTTGAAAAACTAAATTGCTTCTATTTAAACATCTAAAGCATTATCATTAAATTATTTAAAGCTGTATTAATAACATCTCTTTACATTTTGCATTTTTATGGCTCACTTAAGACATCTGATAATTTTGAATATATAGTCTTTTTCATTAAATATGCAAATTCTTCTATTGTTTTAAATGAACAAACATCAACTATTGTCTTCTTATATTCGAGATTCTAACTAGAATTAAATTTCTCTGACACAGTCCATTTTGAACATAATTGATAAAATTAATCACCCATTAATAAAATTAATAATATATATCCAAAATTATCCCTATTGCAAAAAATAACTCAAAGTATTTTCTAAGAAACATATCTTGATTGTACCAACTATGTTGTACCTTATGATTATTCTTCTATATTTAAAAATACCCAAATCTAAAATTTATTTAAGACAAATAAAAATCAAATATCAATAATTAATATTTATTATTCCTTCTATTTGTGAAAATCATAAATGCAAATTCTTTATTTTCTTCCATAAAATATCAAATCAGCTAATATTAGTTTTTGGATTCCATACATATGGACCTAAAATTAAATTCTTTTTGATTAATGGTATTTTTCCATTATTCTAAATAATAGTTTCTACAATAAGATATTTATAATTGGCCAGTGGTCATTTCTCAAACAAACGAAGAGTTTATCTTTAATTTTTTTAACTATTAAACCTATCATTAAATAGAAATTACCTAAAGGAATATAATTACTCTCTTTTTTAACATGTCTCAACTAGATTTTCCGAAAATTTTATTGACAAGATATTTTTTTTATTGAAAAATGTAAATCAACCTAGTTTTGTATTAGAATTGATATTCATCGATGAGGAGGGTATCAAAAAATATATTGTATTAAGGTTCTAAAAATGATGCTTCTAAACTAAATTCAAATTAAAAAATTAGAAAATGTTAAAAGATATTTGAAAAGGAGTTTAATAAAATTAATTAAAAAGAGGAGAAAATTGAAAATGATTGATTCTTTTGTATATATGTTTATTAATTGTAAGAAAAAGGAATTAACAATTTATCAAATTTTTTAATTAAATAAAAGATGTTTTTTATTTTATCCAATCGACTTCTTATTATCGCTTTATAGTTTTGATATAATTTATGAATATTGAAATTAAGGTATTTCTGAAGGGTTATTTATGATCCATCCTTAGTTTAGAATTTTACATATAAAAACCTCAGATTATTTTATGGGATTATAAATCCTTTTTAATTTAAACAAACTGTTAATTCTTTAAAATTTTTATTTTAAAAGCCTATCTTATTTAATCTTTATGTTCCTATTCGAAAGCATCTTAGTAACGCTAAATTAACTAGTGATTAGAGATAAATATCATTTAAGTTAAATATAGGAGGATCTTTTTTTTTGAAGATCATGAAAAAAATAAAGAAATTTAGCCTTTTTAATTATTGTTATATATATATTGAATATATTTTTTCATTTCAATTATTTAAAGATGTTATGTATATTGCTTAATCAAAATTATCATTTTTTCTTTTTTCGATCATTTAAAACTATAGAAATATATAATTTAAATTTATTTCAATTATACTTCTTCAGGAATAACTAAATAATTCATTTCAAATTAAATAAACAATTATCAACCTAAATAAAATTTGAATTCAATTTATAAATCGTTATTATTACACAGTTAATGTATATTTACTTCTAAAAACTAAAACTACTCTCGGATCTATTTATTCTGATATTATGAACTAATCTTAAAATTTTTTATATTCTTAAAAGGAGATGTTCAATAATCACAATGGAATATTTATCAAAGATTAAAATTAATAAACAACCTGTAGTGCAAAAGTTGGCTAGTTAGTTTAGAAATCTAATTGTTAAGAATTATAGCCTTACCTTTAGGAAATTTAGGTGGGAAACTTATATGCTAGTATCATCTTCTTGATAAAATATGGTTTTTGATCAATGTATCTATATTTAAATCCTTCATTCAAATTTTTTTACTTGAATTCCTGAATTAGCAAAATTCTAATTTTAGATATTATGCTGTCAATTAACTAATTAAAATTAGAAAAGCATTTCATAATTGATAAACAAGTTTAGATATAAAATTTTTGACTCTATCACAATTCTAGTAATAAGTTTTATAGAGGGAATAGTGAAATAAACAGAAAGTGAATGCTTATAAAAAATAGTTTGGATTAAAATTAAATTTCAGAAAAATACTTTTTTAAATAAGATCGATTGCTCTTTATAAATGAATTAGTCATAATTTTAAACTTTGATATAAATAATATTGTTATGCTACTATTTATGAATAAATAAATTACTCTATATGATACTTTTCCTTTAAATATTTGATTTATATTTTTCATAACGTAAAAAACAATGTTTATACATAACACGTCTTATGATATATCAATACCTCAATATTTCGTATTTTTATTTAACATAATGTTCTTTATATTAATTTTTACTTTAATGCAATACCAACAGAACAATAAAGGAGATTAAATTATATACAAATTAATCTTTTCTGAGTTATATAAATTTCAATTCAAATATGCTAAATTTCAAAACCTAAATGCTTATATTCATTTATTGGAACACCTTTAATTTTATTGCTAATATTTACTTATATTTTGTGATTAGCATGATCTGAGTGATTAGTAAATGAGAACTATATAGATTTCTTGTATTATGATTCTATTTTGTTNTATATATATATTGAATATATTTTTTCATTTCAATTATTTAAAGATGTTATGTATATTGCTTAATCAAAATTATCATTTTTTCTTTTTTCGATCATTTAAAACTATAGAAATATATAATTTAAATTTATTTCAATTATACTTCTTCAGGAATAACTAAATAATTCATTTCAAATTAAATAAACAATTATCAACCTAAATAAAATTTGAATTCAATTTATAAATCGTTATTATTACACAGTTAATGTATATTTACTTCTAAAAACTAAAACTACTCTCGGATCTATTTATTCTGATATTATGAACTAATCTTAAAATTTTTTATATTCTTAAAAGGAGATGTTCAATAATCACAATGGAATATTTATCAAAGATTAAAATTAATAAACAACCTGTAGTGCAAAAGTTGGCTAGTTAGTTTAGAAATCTAATTGTTAAGAATTATAGCCTTACCTTTAGGAAATTTAGGTGGGAAACTTATATGCTAGTATCATCTTCTTGATAAAATATGGTTTTTGATCAATGTATCTATATTTAAATCCTTCATTCAAATTTTTTTACTTGAATTCCTGAATTAGCAAAATTCTAATTTTAGATATTATGCTGTCAATTAACTAATTAAAATTAGAAAAGCATTTCATAATTGATAAACAAGTTTAGATATAAAATTTTTGACTCTATCACAATTCTAGTAATAAGTTTTATAGAGGGAATAGTGAAATAAACAGAAAGTGAATGCTTATAAAAAATAGTTTGGATTAAAATTAAATTTCAGAAAAATACTTTTTTAAATAAGATCGATTGCTCTTTATAAATGAATTAGTCATAATTTTAAACTTTGATATAAATAATATTGTTATGCTACTATTTATGAATAAATAAATTACTCTATATGATACTTTTCCTTTAAATATTTGATTTATATTTTTCATAACGTAAAAAACAATGTTTATACATAACACGTCTTATGATATATCAATACCTCAATATTTCGTATTTTTATTTAACATAATGTTCTTTATATTAATTTTTACTTTAATGCAATACCAACAGAACAATAAAGGAGATTAAATTATATACAAATTAATCTTTTCTGAGTTATATAAATTTCAATTCAAATATGCTAAATTTCAAAACCTAAATGCTTATATTCATTTATTGGAACACCTTTAATTTTATTGCTAATATTTACTTATATTTTGTGATTAGCATGATCTGAGTGATTAGTAAATGAGAACTATATAGATTTCTTGTATTATGATTCTATTTTGTTCCTTTCCTTTATAGAAATTAATATTTATTCTTAAGTTTATAAATTCACAAGAGACTAACTTTTTTGTTCCAATAAATTTTCTTACTTATTTCTTTCATTAAGTATTAAAAACCTGATTTTTAATTTATTAAGTATGGTTCCTAAAATAAGTTTACGACTTATATGATATAAATACCTATTCTATTCATGGTTTCTACACTCAAAGCTTTGTTTATAGATTATTTCACTTCTTATGGAGTAATTTTCAGATGATAAGCGATTATTTCATAAATATTATGCTTTTCTAAATTATTAGTTATTTAACAGCGAGGATAATTAAGCTAAATTTAGAATCATTTCTTTAGTAGATTTATTACAAAAACTGAAAATGAGTAGAACTCCAAAATACTGTTTTAATGAGTTCATCTTTAAGTTATAAAGAAATTTAATTGGCTTAAGTAATTGCACTCAACATTATCAAAGTTTAATTGTCTACTGGTATTAAGTTATCTTTATTCATTATTAAACATAAATTAAAACATATTGAATAAATTTATTTTCAATATTTAATATTTTTTTTGATTTATTAGTAATATCTATATTCGTTTCATTTTTATTAATAATAAATACTATTTAATTTATCACTTTATTAATATCTAAATATTTCATGTATGTTATAAAAAAAAATAATTCTAAACATGTTCAGTTTTTAATCTCATAATTATTATAAATATTAATCTCATAATCTGACTACTTTTAATTGATCTTTTGCTTATTCTACTCTTTGCTTTAATGATTATTAAGCTACTTTTGTTCTTTTTTTAAGTTCCTCTTTTGGAATTTCGTAGGCAAGATAATCAACTATTCCTGGATCAATCAATTCTTTTATTTAAAATTCATTTAAAGGAGGAATTTCACTCCAAGTTAATGGAGCTCCACAACCTTTTCTTACTATACCCTATTTGCCATCTTTTGAAATTTTTGTTGTCTTTTAACTTGTTTAACTAGCATTTTACTGATTAGTATTAGTCCTTTCTTAAAATTTAACACCTTTTTCTGATATTTCAAATACATATTTTTATGTTTATTTGTAATTTTAAAAATATTCATCTTCTTCAGGGAAATTTCCACAATTTTTTTTTTCCTTCACAACCTGCTACTTTTAACCTAATTACACCACAATTTGGGCAGGCCTTTATGAAATTAAAGAAATGTTTTTCATCTTATCTTATTTTTTATTAAGTTAATTTGACAATATTGTAACATTAATTAAAAATAAGTTAATTAGATAAAAAAGCAAGTATTCAAAAATATAATCTACTTGTTCCATTAGTTCTTTTTTAATGCAAAATCAACTAAATATGCAGTGACTGGATCTGAACATTATTCATATAGTTTAAATATCGTTATTTTTTATTTCAAATTCAGATATTTATTTTTCAGCTATTTTCTTAACTTCTAATGCTAAACAATGCATTATATTTGACATATCCTCATGTTTATTATTAAATTCTCCAATAAATTTAATTATAACCTTAGAAATTTTGTTAAAATTAGTTATTATCTATCCTTTGGCTATTTCTAAATCCATTTCTAAGTCATTTATATATTCTATGAGATCGAAATNTTTCACTTCTTATGGAGTAATTTTCAGATGATAAGCGATTATTTCATAAATATTATGCTTTTCTAAATTATTAGTTATTTAACAGCGAGGATAATTAAGCTAAATTTAGAATCATTTCTTTAGTAGATTTATTACAAAAACTGAAAATGAGTAGAACTCCAAAATACTGTTTTAATGAGTTCATCTTTAAGTTATAAAGAAATTTAATTGGCTTAAGTAATTGCACTCAACATTATCAAAGTTTAATTGTCTACTGGTATTAAGTTATCTTTATTCATTATTAAACATAAATTAAAACATATTGAATAAATTTATTTTCAATATTTAATATTTTTTTTGATTTATTAGTAATATCTATATTCGTTTCATTTTTATTAATAATAAATACTATTTAATTTATCACTTTATTAATATCTAAATATTTCATGTATGTTATAAAAAAAAATAATTCTAAACATGTTCAGTTTTTAATCTCATAATTATTATAAATATTAATCTCATAATCTGACTACTTTTAATTGATCTTTTGCTTATTCTACTCTTTGCTTTAATGATTATTAAGCTACTTTTGTTCTTTTTTTAAGTTCCTCTTTTGGAATTTCGTAGGCAAGATAATCAACTATTCCTGGATCAATCAATTCTTTTATTTAAAATTCATTTAAAGGAGGAATTTCACTCCAAGTTAATGGAGCTCCACAACCTTTTCTTACTATACCCTATTTGCCATCTTTTGAAATTTTTGTTGTCTTTTAACTTGTTTAACTAGCATTTTACTGATTAGTATTAGTCCTTTCTTAAAATTTAACACCTTTTTCTGATATTTCAAATACATATTTTTATGTTTATTTGTAATTTTAAAAATATTCATCTTCTTCAGGGAAATTTCCACAATTTTTTTTTTCCTTCACAACCTGCTACTTTTAACCTAATTACACCACAATTTGGGCAGGCCTTTATGAAATTAAAGAAATGTTTTTCATCTTATCTTATTTTTTATTAAGTTAATTTGACAATATTGTAACATTAATTAAAAATAAGTTAATTAGATAAAAAAGCAAGTATTCAAAAATATAATCTACTTGTTCCATTAGTTCTTTTTTAATGCAAAATCAACTAAATATGCAGTGACTGGATCTGAACATTATTCATATAGTTTAAATATCGTTATTTTTTATTTCAAATTCAGATATTTATTTTTCAGCTATTTTCTTAACTTCTAATGCTAAACAATGCATTATATTTGACATATCCTCATGTTTATTATTAAATTCTCCAATAAATTTAATTATAACCTTAGAAATTTTGTTAAAATTAGTTATTATCTATCCTTTGGCTATTTCTAAATCCATTTCTAAGTCATTTATATATTCTATGAGATCGAAATGACTATAAATTCTGTTTCTGTTAATTCTACATTTTATAATTCTGTTTTTATTAAAATTTTATCAATATCTTAACATATTTATTTACTTGTATCATTTTTTGAAAAATATACGAAAGAATTCAAACCAAATGTCTTCATTCCATTAACAAATTCTAATTTATCTTTTTCTAAAGTTTCTTTATCCGCAGTATCCATATGTGTAACTGCTAGAGTGACTAGGTTCCTATATCTCATAAATATCTACACCATAATTTTAATATAATTTCTCATCAGACCTAATCTTTCCCACTTAACAACAAGAAATATTTAGTTCAAAGGACCTTCAGTCAATGCATTTAACACTCCAACAGCATGCTCTATTTTGTTATTACTTGAACCAAATCCGGGTGTGTCGAGTACTCGAAATCCTTATCCATTAGAAGACTCTTTTAGAAAGACTTATCTAATAATCAATCAATGATCACCTTGTCACAGATTCACCTCCTTATTTAACTTTACAATCTGTATTACTAATTTTATTAAATAAAGTTGTTTTTCCGCAACCAATAAAATCTATAAGAACAATCTATTTGTGCTTCTTATTCATAAATTTATGATTAATTAATCCAAATTAATCGAATTCTTTTTAAATTTGAGTAAAATCTCTTACACTTTAAATATGAGTTTGATAATTCTATTAAGAGAATGTTTTATTGAAACAAATAATTCTATAATTTAATCTAATATATGAGTAATAAATTATTCATCTTAATAGGCAACGATGATCAACTAAAAAACTAATTTTACTATTAATTGACTGGAATTGAACAATTATAAGAAGAAGTAAATTACAAAATTTACCCTTCACCCATAAAAGATGCACTTTTAATCCAAGAAAAAAATATTTATGTATTAAATACTCCACCAATAGAAACATAAGAAGATCATATTAGATTATGGAGTTTAATTGCTGCTATTTGTTAATGTCATAAATTGATCATTGAAGATGTTTTTTACTGTTTAGATAATTAAAACCAACTAATTATAGAAATATTAAACTATTTAACTCATTTATTCGATTATAATAATAAAAATAGAATTTTTTTTTTCACAAAATCTTTAGATGTTTATAATTAAATTAGTAGTAAAACCTAAAATTAGATTTGCTTTTAAGTTAGATATAATACAGATTTCATATAAACATTTAAATAGCTGATTAAGAGACAAAATAAAGTGTTTTTTACAACATATTGTTTTGAAAATTTGAAGATTAATGAATAAAGTGAAATTTAACAATTAATCAATGAAATTTCTAATGAATATATAAGAATTTCAATTAATTGTTATAATTACGCTTAGTTTATAATAAATTTCTTTAAAAATGAGCATTTAGAAAAAACTATAAATTCATTCAAATTTGAATTTGATAACATTTAAAGTATTTTTGAATATAGAGTATTGATTAAACAGTCATTAAATTAACTTTTTAATTAAATTCTTTAAGATATTTAGAGACTAACTCTATCTTCATTTTACTAATGTTTGGATTGTTTATAAATTTGCTATTGTGAGAAGACTATTATATATCCTATCAATACTATTAGAATATAAATTTAAATTGCTAATCCTAACAATAAAAAATCAACCTTACAATGTAAACATTGCCAATATTAATTAACATACACTTCCCCTTCTCTTATCATTTAAGCATGCTTAGATGATTTAGAATTGAGGATTTTTAAAAAATTTTAATATGAATTTGAAAACTAACCTATTTATAGAGTAAAAACAAAAACAGAACCTCTATAAAAAAAATAAAAAAGTAATCCAAATATAAAGATAATAGAAATTGAAAACTTAAAATTAAAGGATGCTACATAAATTCTATTTTTATCTAATGAAGACAATAAAAACAACATTATCTTTAATACATTAATAGAATATAGAGATCAAGAACAAATAAACATTAATAATAATATTTTTATTAATGGATAAATTACTGATGGAAATAATAGTTATGTTTTACATAATCCTCCTTTATTTGACTTTTAAATTACTAATTTGGATGCAATAACTTCATTTCAATAGTACTTTAGTAAAATAACAATTCACCATTTTGTTTTTTTCTTAAATTACTAAAGAACTGAAATAATGAAATAAAGATTTGTTGATATGTTTAAAACATTACAAAGACTAAATAAATCTTAAGTGTCTATTATAGTAACTTAATGTAATTCTGATATAGACTAATTGTAAGATTTGAAAAGTGAATTAGAAAAGTTTACACTCAATTCAATTATATTTTTGAATAAACAAATCAATCAAACTTAAATTAAATAATAGATTTTAGAATGCTTTTAAAAAGTTAATCCTATCTAATTCCAATTTTAAGGTACTATTTTTGAAGAGGACAATGTTGAGGAAGAAAAATAAATTGAAAATAATCTTAACATAGCAGTTGATCAGATAGAAAATGATAAAATGGAAGAACTATAAATTTAATATTTAAATAATGATAATTAAATTTAAGAATTAAAATAAGATATTGAATAATAGGAAAAGCTTTTAAAATAAAAAAATGAGAAACTTAGAGATTTAATTTAAGAAAATGAAACAAATTAATAACTTATCAAAAAATGGTATTATAAAAGATAACAAAAAGCATTATATTAAAATTAAAAATGATTAGTTTTGTGACAATGATTATAAATTTATTTGATAATCTTAATTCTTAAAGTATGTTTATATAATAATAATATTATGTTTAAAATATTTAATAGTGTAAAATCATTATAATGATTAATTTTTCAATAGAATTTTTAAACTTTGTATTGAATTATTATTAATATCAGTTTAAGGTATAGAATTAAATTTTCAAACTAAAAGGTGAAGGATGGACTTGGTTATTTGAGAAATCAGTATAAGTATAAAAATTTGAAGCTCCATAAATTATCAAAATTAAACAAATATAAGGTTAATTAAGACGAATTGAATATAATTTTAATAGAATAAAATTTGTTAAGGATAAAAGATTTTGTAAAATATCCATTAATTGTTAAAAAAATATGCTTGAATCTAAAATGAAATGTTATCATATTGATTTTTCAATAATTAGGATCAGTTTATTAGTCTGAATTAGAAAACATTATAAATAAAATAAGATCTCAGGATTTATAATTAGAAGGTTTGAACTATTAGTAGAAATAATTATAACTTTCATATAATAAAAAGAGATAATTCGCAGGATATAGATTATTAAGAATTATTACATTTCCCAACTGAGGGAAACAATAAGTATAATTAATTGACAATATAAAAAGTATCTAAATGTAACTTTATGTTCGAGAATAAAACAATCATAAAGAATATTCCTCACTAATGAAATATAAATTAAAGAAAATTTTCGAAATGCTATGTCGGATTTTATAAAGCAGAAGTTATTCAATTTATATAATAATGATATTGTTAACTCCAAATGCAATCATAGATAAAATGAATGGATTTAATTAATTTCAAATCTATATAAAAGGAAAGATTTTAGAATAGATTTTTTTTTTTGGATTTGATATTTAATTAGAACATTTGATAATTCAAATACTGCCAAAAAAAATAGAAATTATAAAAATGCTGAGAGATTAAAATTAATAATTTGTGTCTAAATTTAAGAGAAAAAATTTTAACCATCAAATCTTTATAGTTAAAGGCAAGTTAATTAAAATTTTTTTCAATAATCAATAAAGCGAGGCAATGTATCCTTTGTTGTAACATATTAAAATCGAAGAATAAAATTTTGATATCTAAATAGTAAAATTAAAGAATAGCTACATAAATGTTATGATTGATAAAATAAGAATTTTAATGTCATATAATTCCTTTTGTAATTAATGTATTTTTTTAACAATTTAGAAAAAAGAAAACTTCAACAATTTCAACAATAATTTACAGAATGAATGAGAAAGTATGATATTGAGAATTAAAGAAAAAATAGGTAAGAAAAATCTTTCTTAGTATAAAAATTTTGTAAATTAATATATACTAATAAATCAATTTAGAATAACAAATTTAAGTGAATTTCAAATAGGAAAATAATAAACTGTCTTGTAGATGCTTTAAATTATTATAGAAAGTTAATTTTAATTTTTATTAATGTAGAGTCGATCCTTATTATTGATTTTAGAGAATTAACTTAGATCTTCGATAATGAATTAAGCTTATGAATCTTTAAAACAATAGATACAAATGATTTATTTTGTTTGTTCCTTTAATAAAAATATTTATAGTTCAGTTTTTATTGATTTTCTTGATGGAATTTCACAAACACCGATTAAAAATTAAGAAACCACTTGTATTGGATCTGAATAAATATTAAAAATAACTTTTAATTATATTTACAATTGAACTAATTGAATAAATGAACAACTATTATTTAGTTAATATAAAATAAAACTATTTACAGCTTTTGAATTTAGATCATTATATTAAAGGGATTCCTGAAACAATTGAATTATTCAAGAAAATTATTAGATAAGAAACCTAAATAAAGAATTTATTCAAAAATGATAATAATATTAATAATCAATTTTTTCCATCAGAAAAAGAAATAGAATTAAGGAATAAAGATGTTAAATATATAATAAAATAAATTTTGTAAGTATTGCTTAAATAATATTATTATAATTAGGTAGTTTAGATTCAATTACCATAAAATATTAATCTGCAAAATTACAATGAGTTTATAATTTTTGTGTTAAAATTATTTTTATACACAAAATAATAAAAATTGCCTTATTATTAGAAAAAAAAAAATTGAAAATTTAGTAGTTTAATTTATTAAAATTATAACTTAATGTAAAGAACACTACACTTTTGAATTTGCACTAGAGTTATTGTTATATATTTGAAATTGATTGAGCAATTTTTTAGAAGCAAAATTAAAAAATAATATCATAAAATTTTTAATAAAGTAAGATAATTTAATAGATAATAATAAATTTCAAAGTCTTTGAAACCTTAAAATGTTAATAATTAACAATAAAGAATAATAGAACGATCGATATAATTAAAATAACGAAAATTAGAGTAATTTCAACAATACTAAATAGAATGATTTATTATTAGATGATTTCTAAGTTGAATTTATATATAAGAATTTTTGGATTATCATTTTTCAATTAAACATTAATATAACAATCATGAAAATGAATTTCTATCTTAAATTTCAAATATTGAAAGTAATGCATATTATGAGAAAAAAATTTAGAGAATCAAAAATCTAAAATTTTTCTTTTGGTTATTATTCTTGTTGTCTTGACAAATATGGAAGAATAAGAAAAAATAAATGAATATATGATAAAAAATAATTTTACATTTATTTTATATTTAGAAGCACTAATAAAGAAATAAAAATATGGAAATAATTTAGAAAACATTGATTATAATTCTATTTAGGGTTAAGATTATTTTGATGATTTAAATAGAGGACATCTGCTTTCAGATCGACCAATTTAGGAAGATTAAAATAATGAAAATATACTGATCAAAAATGTAAGAAAATTTAAATTTACTCTTTATTAAGCTTATTATAAGTTATCTATAATAGGTCTTTATAAAATGAACTAGATAAATTCTATTTAGAAAAAGCTATGTTTGTGAAGAGAAAGTAGTTGTATGAGATTTAAAGGAATATAACAATGAGTTTTCATTTTTAAGATTTAATACTAACCCCCAGGTTTAATTGAATTTTCAATAAAATTTTTAATTTACTTATAGCTACTTCTGATGAATTGATAATCTTAAATTTGGAGAGAAAAAAAGAACAAAAAATCACTTATTAACAATAAATAAAAAATATCAGTATATTTCTAATTCTAAAGATGATCAAATAATAGCTGCAGCCTCATGTATTCAAACTATTTTGGATAATTATAATCATGATAACATTTTTTAAACCCTTAAAAAAATGTCAACATAATCTTATTTGAAATTATCAGATAAGGGAAATAAATTGGCTTACTTGTTAAGATTAACAATTTTATGTATATGATTTCGTAACTCAAAAATCTATAAACTTATGAAAAACAACATAAGATTAATATAATTGATTTCTCCAAAGATGAACAATAGTTGATGGTTGGATATTCTGATGGAACTATAGAATAATATGTAGGTGATAAAAGATACAATAATAATTAATATTCCNAATACTAAATAGAATGATTTATTATTAGATGATTTCTAAGTTGAATTTATATATAAGAATTTTTGGATTATCATTTTTCAATTAAACATTAATATAACAATCATGAAAATGAATTTCTATCTTAAATTTCAAATATTGAAAGTAATGCATATTATGAGAAAAAAATTTAGAGAATCAAAAATCTAAAATTTTTCTTTTGGTTATTATTCTTGTTGTCTTGACAAATATGGAAGAATAAGAAAAAATAAATGAATATATGATAAAAAATAATTTTACATTTATTTTATATTTAGAAGCACTAATAAAGAAATAAAAATATGGAAATAATTTAGAAAACATTGATTATAATTCTATTTAGGGTTAAGATTATTTTGATGATTTAAATAGAGGACATCTGCTTTCAGATCGACCAATTTAGGAAGATTAAAATAATGAAAATATACTGATCAAAAATGTAAGAAAATTTAAATTTACTCTTTATTAAGCTTATTATAAGTTATCTATAATAGGTCTTTATAAAATGAACTAGATAAATTCTATTTAGAAAAAGCTATGTTTGTGAAGAGAAAGTAGTTGTATGAGATTTAAAGGAATATAACAATGAGTTTTCATTTTTAAGATTTAATACTAACCCCCAGGTTTAATTGAATTTTCAATAAAATTTTTAATTTACTTATAGCTACTTCTGATGAATTGATAATCTTAAATTTGGAGAGAAAAAAAGAACAAAAAATCACTTATTAACAATAAATAAAAAATATCAGTATATTTCTAATTCTAAAGATGATCAAATAATAGCTGCAGCCTCATGTATTCAAACTATTTTGGATAATTATAATCATGATAACATTTTTTAAACCCTTAAAAAAATGTCAACATAATCTTATTTGAAATTATCAGATAAGGGAAATAAATTGGCTTACTTGTTAAGATTAACAATTTTATGTATATGATTTCGTAACTCAAAAATCTATAAACTTATGAAAAACAACATAAGATTAATATAATTGATTTCTCCAAAGATGAACAATAGTTGATGGTTGGATATTCTGATGGAACTATAGAATAATATGTAGGTGATAAAAGATACAATAATAATTAATATTCCAGTTTTATTTAGCTGACTTTTATGAATGGAGATTAAATAGTTTCATAACATAAAGATTAAAAAATAATTTAGTCAAAAATGCTGGATCATATTTTAAAAATTAGGTAAGGATTTGAAAGTTTCTACCCTCGCTGAGCCAAATGAAATTAATAAATCTTTAATTAATATAGAAAACTTATCAATTTTGTGGAAACACATAATAGGATTTATAGAACAAATTACTTTTTGTAGAACCTTTTCCTATAATAATTTCAACAATTAATTAGGAATCAGAATTTAAATTAAAAAGGGTATTAAAATGACTATATATTTTAAAAGATAATTTATTTGAATAATATAATTCATATAATTTAAATATAATAAATGATTTCTTATATCATATTATAGGTTATTTTGTTAGCTTTAAACTTTAGTAATAATAAATAATCTTATATATATGTTCTAGAAGTACATAAAAAGATCAAAATTTATCTTATTTAATTGATTAGTAAACCAAATATATTAAAAATAACATATTTTTCGATATTTATAATTAAGAATTAATTTAACTAAAACATAGGAAATTCTCTAGGCCTTGGGATTGTTTTCAAAATACTTAAACTAATTAACAGATAAATTTGAAAATATCAAGCAAAACATAATTAACGGAATTGTAGAATTAATAAATTTTTTAGATAAATGGAAAAACACTATAAATAATCAAAAGATAAAACATGAAAAATCATAAATAACAAACAATTTATTAACAATTTTACAATTTTAATTGGTTTCATGAAAAATTATAAAAATAACTTTAAGCAATTTCAAACTAAATATTGGAATAATTATAATCAATATAAGCATCTAATTAATATGTAGAACTTAGTTAATAATGTTTAGAAGAACCAATGATTGGAAGTTTGGTTCTGAAAGATGATTAAATTAGTTAAGAAGAGTATTGTCTTGCAATTGCATTCAATTAATCTGGAACTATAATGGCATCAGGATGTGAAAATATAATAAAAGTTTGGGATTATAATAATGGAAAAATAGAAGTAATCACAACTTTAGATCCAGATTAAATGCAGATTTTAAGCTTAATTTTCAGCAAGAATAGTAATAACTTTATTTCAGGTAGCATTAATTCAATCAATATGTGGTGCACTAAAAATGATAAAAGTTGGCAGAATATAAATTAAATATGCAATGCATCATATTGTATGATATTAAATTATGATGAAACCAAACTTTATACAGGTGAAAATGATTCAATAAGTGTTTGGGATGTTGATTTTCAAAATTAGAAATTAGAATTTGATTAAAGTTTGCCAGCTAAGAAAATTTATAGTATAAGTTTAAATGAAGAAGAAACATTTTTGGCTACTTGTTGTGTTGATAAATCAATACATTTATGGGAAATAAAATGCAAAACTATAGAATTATATTAAATTATTCAAACACATTAACTTGGATATAATTTATGCTTTATCAAACATAATTAATTTATTTGGTTACCTGCAGAGCAACTTAACATAAACTGTATCTATGTATATGATTTATAAAATGGTGAATTTTAATTGCAAGAAGATAAAATAATTAATTTACTATAAGATGATACTTGTTTTGATAGTTTCTTATTCCCAATAGTAATTAATAAAGAAAGAAACATTATTGCAATTAGACATAAAGTTACTGTATATTTGATACAAGTATTTTAAAATGGTAAATATTAAATTATAACTCATAAAAATTTAAAAACAGATGAAATTTATGGAACAATGACATATAATGGAACTGCATTAATTTTATGGGATAATTTAAGTAGGAAATATTAGATATTTGATATTGAAATCTAATGATAATAATTTATCAATTAATGATAAATATTTATTAATAATTATAATAATCAATCATTTTATTAATATTCATTCTAATAAAAAAGGATTATAAATAAGATATTTCTAAAGTTGACTATCAAATTATAAATGGAAAACTCTTATTTAATGAAGGTAGATAATATAAAATAGTAAAAAGAATATGAAATAATTCTAATAAAATAAGTTGGGTATATTTTTAATATTTTATAATTAATTTTTTTATGATAATTTGAAATCGTATATAATTGATAATATTTCTTAATAGAATTTTGTAATAGATTAAGCTTAAATGGATTGATTTAAGGCTTAAAATAATTAAAATCATGCTTTAAAATCAAAACTCAAAACAAGTAGTATTAATTGGGTATATTGGCCATGGTAAAACAACTCTTTTTAATAAAATTTGTTAGAAAAAATAACCTGCATAATTTGGTGGACCATCTGTTACTAGAGAATCAGTTCTTAGTTAAAGCGCTTATGGAGAAGGTTTTAATTTGATTGATACTCCTGGTTTAGGGACTGATATAGATAAATTGGCTCATGTAATTTGTATTGGTACAGCTCTAACCTTTGGATAAGTTCATCAAATTTTAATAGTTGTTTAGTTAGAAAGGCTAGCAGCTATGAAAGAGAAGCTAAGACCAATGATATAATAGTAATTTAAAAGATTCAAAGATATCATCACAGTTGTTGTTACTCATTGGGATAAAGCAGAAGAACCAGAAAAAAGAAAATAAGAATTAACTGATTTAATTAAAGGGTATAATGTTAAGTCTATGATTTTCGTATCAAAAGAAACATCTGGAAAAGATTTATGTTAAATGATTGAGGTTATTCTATAGAAATGTGATTAACAAGGAAAAATTTGTTAACTATCATAAGCTGAGATATAATCTCATTTTGATATTATTGATTTAACAGATGATGTCATTGATTAACTCAATAACGCTAAGGGTTAAGTTAGTGTCGAATTTGATAAAATTGCAAAAACAATTAAACGTTTTATTAAAAACTTTTCAGATACTGATCCAACAATGCCTGAAGTTATGCATTAATTAACACTAGCTATAAAAGATTATGCTGATCAAACAATTTTAAAATTTGAAAAAGATAATATGGATCTATTTAATGATTTATATTCAAAATTAGAGGATGATAAATTAGTTTATTTAATAGATGCTTAATTAAAATAAGAATTAGTATTGTAAGTAAATGGGTTGATTTCTCTTGCTTAAGAAAAGATGAAACTTTCCAAATAGCAATGTTTTAATTATATAAAAAAGTGTCCCCATTGTGGAGAGATTTGGATAAAAGTCTTTGGATGCGAAGATCAAACATTTTGTGGATAATTACCTGAAATTGAAGATGATCATTTCAAATAATCAAAGATTCCCAGAAGATTTCAATTTTAATTTTAAGAATCTGGAGTCATTTATAATGATTTGAAAATTTAATTTTCAAAATTAGATAAAAGTGTACAATCTTAGAATTAACTTGATGTTTTGCGAATTACTTTCTTAGAAATGTAAAGAGAATAAATGCAATTTTTTGAAATGTAAAGGCAATATATTAACAATCCTTAACAAAATGAAAGGAGACCTATTAGCAATCGATCAGAATATTTAACACCAGGAAATATACAACCAAGACCTATACCACCTAGAGATATATCACAAATTTTAATAAATAATTTTGAATTCTTACTTTAGGACCTTTCAATTTTTGAAAGAAAGGGTAAGATTGGTTGTGGTAAATCATTTATATGGCGTGAATTAAAACCTCTATCCTAAGAATAGTTAAAGGAATTATTAGATCCAGGTGTGTTAGATTATTTGGCAAATGTAGTAAATGAAGAGAAATAGGCTAAATAGATTGAATTAGCAACAAAAATTGAAAGTCTAATGAAAACCAGCAAAGTAGTTATTCTAGAATGAATTGATATTAAGTGAATCATTATAATATTACATTAATTATAATTTAATATTATTTTCTCTTAGTTATTTATTCTTAATAGAATTAATAACATATTATTATCTTGAATTCAATTTTTTTATATTTATTATGTAGCAACTTATTATATTTCTAGGTAATTAAGGTTCTGAAAAGGATTAGTTATTTTAACTATTGCCCTTTGAATAAAAAGAGATAGTATTTGAAAAATTGATAATAAAAGAGAGAATAGATTAAGGTGAGTAAAAACTTATATTTATAAACTTTCCAGAAGAAAATGAAATAACTTAAGCAATAAATTCTCTATTAGCTTTATCAAAGTATTTTATAATTAGATAGATTATCATTTGTTTACATTTTGTTCAATCGCTTCCTCAGAGAATTCAATATATATAAAAAAAGTTTAATGAAGCATTAAATTAAGAAGTAGAAAACGTTTATACGTTTTTTATCAGTGATTCTCCTTAGATTTCTTATGATAATAGATTATATTAATTTTCTAAAATTGATGAATCAAATAAAAAAATTTTTATTAGAATACTTGAAGAAGTTAGCACTCCTTAATATAAACGTAATTCTTAAATCTGCTAAACTTATTTATAGCAATCAGTATTAAATTAATAAGAATAATTGCAATAAAAGATAAATAATTTGAATAAATAATTTCAACAGGAATACTTATCCACTTATTTAGAGGCTTATCTTGAGAGTAAGGTATAAACACTCTTATCCAATGAAATATAACCATTTAAAATGTTGGATGAAAATATCAAATAAAATAAAATAGCTCTATATAGTGAGGCAATATATATGCTTTGTTATAATGAATAAGATTATTCGTTATAATTAGAAAAATTTATGGGAAAATGGTTTAAAAATTTTTCATTTTGTACTAAGTGCAAAATATTATACTAAAAATAGGGTTATAAATACATAATTTATTAATTATCATTATTCTCATTAGATTAAAATGATATAGATATTGAAATACGAAATAGATGTATTAGTTGTAAAGAGTAGTAGCTTTCATAAAGGTTAACTATTTTCATACCATTTTTATTTAAAATCTATATTTTTTAATAAATTAAAAATAACTTGAAAATGAATGAATAATTTTTAGTGGAAACTACTAAAAATTAATTAACTTAAGAAAGAATATTTAATAAAAAAAATAAAAGAGATTGTATTGCTATATTACTTTTAAGCAATGAAGATGGGCTAAAATAATCAGTGATGCAATAAGTTTATGATTGTAAAAATTACAAAGAAAGCAATGAATTTAAGGAATTGTAAATAATAAATGATTCCTTTTATCTTATAGATTCTCCAATATTTTAATTTGATGAATATTCAGAATAATTAGAATCAATTTATTCAAATTATTTAAATACTACTCCAATTCATTATATTATATTTTGTCTCAAATTATAAAGATCAAGTTTAATAAAAGAGAGTCTATTATCTATGTCAAAGAAATTTCCAAAAATTAATAAATAACTATTTGGAGCATTCATAATTAATTAAATGAATGATGATGTATCAATATCTTCTGAACATGAAACAATAAATTGCATCAAAGAATTAATGCCTTAGACTATTCTAATATAAAATAGTAATACTAGTGAAGATGTTATAGAAAAAATCTCAGATTTTATAAAAATTGTTGATCAAACTCAACCACTCTCATTTGAACAAACTATTTTTTGTAAATAAGACAATGAATCAAATTAGGGATAAATTGAAAATTCTCTATTTTTAATGTCTTAAAATATATCAGATCAATTTATATAAAATTGTCGCCAAGAAATAAAGAATGAAGAATTAAAACAAGAGAAGCTAAAGTTGTAAAAACAATAATTTAAATAAGAAATTTCTAATCTGAAAAATGAGTATTAAGTCAAAAAATAAGATCTAAAAGATCTTATATATTAAATTGAATAAGAGATTATAGAATAAGAACGAATTTGCAAAGAAAATGTAAATAATTTGGAAAATTAGATTGTTTAAACTGACAAGGATTATGATTCTTCAATGTTTAATATAAAAGAGAAAAAATAATAGCTTAAATAAATGGAAACTGAAAAAATGAAAAGGAGTTATAAAGTAAACTATAGCAACAAAAAAAATATCATTGTTTGAAAATTCTATAAATTAACCAATTAGTTTGAATATATCTATACATTAATTTTCATTCACGATTTTCCATAAATGTTATAAATTAAATGAATAAAATCTAGCAAACATATTATTTATTAATTAAAGTTCTCTATCTTATACATTAATATTCTAGCAAGAAGATTTTTGGATTATTTATAAAATTGATCTCAACTATATTAATTTTATTTTTATAACAAAAGTTTCAATATATATGAGTCTAATAAAAAATGGCAAAAACTAACTCATTTTATATCTTTTCTATAAAAATAAGAAATTTTGTATGAGACCGAATGACAATAAAAATATTTGGAAAAGAAGAAGATAAGTTTTAATACTGATTATCTGAATAAACTATGCAACTTCAAAATTAAACGCTAATAGAAACAGTTTGGATTATTACTACAATGAAGTTTTAATGAAATTCTTTTTTTTCTTACTGTGTACTTTAGATTATTCAGAATCATATGTTTGTAGCTTGCTTATATGAATTATTTAATAGTTTGGATTAAAATTCTTATTATAAATACAAAATTTTTAACTCTCATAAATGGTTTCTTTTTGCCATTCAAATCACCTAGGTCCAAATTAACTCTTGGTAAAAGGATTAGTTTATATTTAATCATTTTAATTATTGAAAAATTAATATAAAATTTTGGTGCTTGAATAATTTTCCACTTTAACATAGTTTTAATAATTTGTTGAATATTTAAAATTTTCAAAAAATTGTGT